GTTGTCAGTTCGTTCTAGACATGACGATCTGCAATCTCTTATCCTATTCCCAGACTATTGGGAATCTTGGGATGGATGTCGCTTGCTCTCCCCATATCACTGATTCGGATGGAGATGATTTTCTTCTCTCTATTTTGCGTATTGCGAAAAGATAAAAGTAATACACCCACAGACCAATCTGAGATATTCCCCTTCGCGAATCTTTCCTCCCCTTTTTTTTGTTTTATTTTCTTTTTTCTCTCTCTCTGTTTTTGGCCTTTTCGTTTTCCTTCGAGCCCCACATACAGTACCAGGGTACGGAGCAGGTTGGAAACAGCTAATGTACGCTATAATGCATTGCATACGTACGTCGTCGCCGTGCATAATACTCGCCACAGAAGTAAGTCCTAGAATAGAAAGGCAAAATAAAGTGGATAGAAACTGGCCTGCGGCAGTCGCGGAATAAGCTAGATTCTCTATTCTCCAGCTTACCGAGATAACATGTCCTCAATTAGGCAAGTAGTGGTCGTCTAGAGCATTGAGTTCCATAACTACCCCTTGCGTCGATGCCAAAGATTTGCGCTTCCCGTAGCCTATATGAGTTAGTAATGGAGGAGCGTGACTGCGGAAGTCCGGTCCGTGTCGCCTGAGGTATCGTGACAGGACGTGGGCATAGGTACGTACAATGTACATAGGTACGAGGTGGAGTATGAGGGTAAAGTACAGGTGATTTACTCTGTAGTATATGGCATGGTTGCGTCAAGTTTCGTTGGTATACAGAGATGTGACCGGGTTTCTCGTGACAAGTGCCGACAAGATTAACTACTACTGAATCCATGCAAGAAAGGAGCGAGGAGAATGAGGAATGAGTAACAGAAATCATTTCTTCCTTTCATTAAGTTTCAACCCCTCCCAGTTGTGTAGCTTGGTGCAGCTATGCCGCAGAAAGATCTACAAGTGCTATGTATGCACTATGCATCCTTTCAAGAACGGATATTGCGGGCCAACATATGACCGGGAGGTACTTCAGGTTCTTGGTCGATGCAAGGATAGAGCAATGGCCGAGTCCAGGTCAATAGTAGAGAAGCAAGTCTTATCATGCAGGGGTAAATGAGTTTCCTTGACAAACGAGGATATGAACCCAAATTTTGTCTCTTTACACTTGGTGAGAATACGACAGTACATCCATAAACGTAGTTAACCTGTGGGAACGGAAGTTACTCCAAGGTTGATCATCCTCGGCAAGTTCTGATTCAGGTTGACGGCCAATACGGGCCCGGATTTAGTCATGTGTAACGCAGGTCGTGTATGCAGGGCGAACCAACTTACAGTACATACAGTGCATACTAGTAGTACGCGATCAGCAGACGCTGGTCCTTTCCAAGAGATGAATGGTCTTGGCTACGACGGACTAAAACTGGCATCATGCGGGACTCGTTCACCTACAGCAGTGGGAGTTAATGTCAATATTTGCCTCTGACTTTACGGTGTACTACTCCGTACAAGTATGTCCAATGAATATGGCCGTGTATGTACTGTATGTGCTACCCGTGTGAAACTAATACTAAACCCCGTGCCAATAATCCAGTAAAATATTGAACCATGGATCTACTAGGTTTCGCGATACTAGTCCATACACTCCGAACGCAAATATCAGAGGTGGAAGGTATTCCCAACATGCATGACGAACATCTCCGATCTTAGTGCAACCTGATCTTGTTCAACCTTTTTGTATTTCTTTTTGCATATCATCCAATAGATGAAAGGTAATCCAGCACAGTCGATCATCCTGAGGGCTCAGTCCGCACCAGATCTCCTGGATTTGCCACCAGCTTGGACAGGACGCCTTAGGCGCTAGCTTAATGCACGCTTTTCACTGGGCAATAACGTCGACATTAGTGAGACTGCTTGCTTAATCAATCGGCGCTACTCGGGCGGAATCTCAATTCTCTTCCCCCCGTCTGCCGCCTGTCACTCAATGGTTTGGTTGAACTTCTCTTCCTGGGTTTATATATTTGTTCTTCGAATGTTGACCTAAGAAAAAGTACAAATGGTGCTGAGACTGACATTTGCGATCTTCTGTCAGTTTTGGGTTAGCCGAATCAACCCCACCGAACACGGTCGGTCGGAAATGACTTCCGAGGAGAATTGACAGAGATCTCTCCCATCCCAAATCATAAGATTTCTGATTCTACCACTATCTAGCTTGATCTATCTGCGACAGGGAGTAAGTACCTATATCACCTTCTCATTACTCTTCCAAAGCTGAAGCGTCCTGCGCGGCATACTTGTCTCTTTGCCCGTAGGAGTAATATAAAAGGTGGCAATGTGTGCCACCGCGGTCCTCGAAGTGCATACATTATGTATGTTCTTTTGTGACAGCTGATTCTATTCTCACTGATGTGCGTCCGTTAGTGCTATACAGGGGTATATCACATAGTCCGGTCTAGAATACGTTATACCATCAATCCCTTCGAACTAAACCGGCGATAATATACTTTATTACCTACACCACAATCCTCCACACACAGACCACCGCTAATATAGTGTGAGAGTACCTTGTTGCAAGAAATACTACCTGCCCAAAGGGGTAGTCGGTAGGGTCACACCGTATGCTACCTTAATCCACTCAGATCATTCTACATACCCACAATCTGGTATTCTTCCCCGAAACCAAGCATACCAAACTTCACCGTACGCAAATCACGCTAAACTCGAACCCATAATCACAGGGCAGGCAGTGGCCGACCGGAAAACCCCAAACCATGACTTCACCAAAGTAGTGGGCCTGAACTAGAAAAGAGAACACGCTAACTAGCAATTTTTTTAGTTTGTGGCTCAGCGTGATTAAAGTGGATAGATCAGGATACAGTAACCCGATCGGGAAACCACATGTGGCACAGTTTCAAACTGCACGGGAAAATCGGGCCGCGGAAAAACACAAAGTCTGTGACGACACTTTAGGTCACTTTACCTCAGGGACCTCTCCCGATGACGGCATGGACCTTTGTTTTCCTTTCGTTCTTCTCCGAGATCTGATTCCCCACCGGGAGATTCGGGTTGGGGCTTTTTTTTTTTTTTTTTTGGGTTTTTTTTTTTTTTTTTTTTTTTTTTTTTTTTTGGTTTCTTATTTTTCTTTTCGCACTAACGCTAGCTACGTACTCCTTTAGTCTCCCCGGTTTCGCACATGGAAGGCAGTGTCATCTTTGTCAGTTTCGGCTTCCCCGATTTTAGGTGCATTGTTATTCTTGATCTTTAATTTTCTTTTTCATCTACGGAGTATTTATTTGAGGGAAAAAAATGGAGATGACAGGGGTCATATGACGGGTTCTAAAATCAGCATGTAGAAATAAAATTAAAGTGAAGAAACAAAGAAAAAAAGAAATCCTCCATGGACAATGCCATAGGAACACAATGCAAGTGGGAAATTTTTTCTGCAGCAGCAGCAAGTACATAAGCATCCCCGGGTCCAGACTTCTGACGAAACGCAGGCTTGCCAAGCCAAGCAAGCCCTTCAACGAATTCCGCAGTGGCTTATGTGTGAAAAAGTCTGCAATATGTTAGTCAGTTTGCACATAACCATACTGATTGATGAAGAATATATTTCCTATCGTGAGGGGGAATTTTTTTTTTTTTTTTCCCTTCCCTTTTGAATTGAAGCCGGAGCCAGCGGTCAGGCTTTCCAGATCTGATTTGCAGGGCAGAAGGATCGGTGCCCTTGTGGATTGAGTGAGATGGCTAGCCAACAGGAGGCCGCCATTTGAGGTTCGTGGATTGCGATCCGGGGAGGGAAGTTTCGCGCGGGTTCGTTCCGCCATTATGGATCGATCCCCCCCCCGAGATCCTTCTTGTTTACGTTTTACTCTTTGAGTCTGCTTTTCATCATCTGTATATATATATATATATATATATATTTTTCTCTGCTATGTAGATTGATTGAGAGGACATGACCTCTCGGTTGGTATGATCTGTAAAAAGGACCCTCATCATAGAGACGGATTTTCCACACAGACACATATGGAGACTAGACGAAAGTATATTCCATCGATCTTCCTAGAAATTTTCTTTTCGCCGACTCGGAACGGGAGACAGAGAGAGAGAGCCCGCCTGCAGCTGTCAAAACCCATGAGGCGCAGTTTGAGTTCCTCCTGCGTTGTGCATATCACACAGACTCAGCGACCAGATACTGTAACTACTCTTCGTGGGCACTACCTGTCAGACTGTATGTTTACCGTTTATCGGGCCTCCGCAACTCTCTTCTCACCGCATGTCACTGCACGGTTATCATATTTGGCGTTTTGAGGATACGAGGGATTGGTGGTGCGGACCAGATTTGATTGGATAGATATGGTCGCCGAACAGTCAATGCCCGAAGCTATCGAGGCCAACCGATGGGATTAGTAGTTTAGTTAGCTAGCTTGTTAGTTAGTTCGGAGGATGGGAACCTTTTGTCATCCATTAACCCACTGATAACGAAGGGTGAAGCGATCCCATTGCCTAATCGGGACTTGTGATGTCTTCCTCAACACGCATTCCAGCAATCAACCAACCCAATGTCCATCTACTACTTTTTACTACGTACTAGTCCCGTTGAATCAACTAACCTCATACGCCCAGCTCCTGCCACGACGCCAGACTGTCCACGACGGAGCATCTCCCCATCTAGACGAGTGGCAAAAGATGCTGCGCAAGGCAATTACCCCTCATTAACACTGCCCTGGAGGAGACGAGGGAGAAAAAAAGAAAAAAAGAAAAAAAGCAAAGAAAGCAGCATTAAGGAAGATGCCTCCTATCAAGTGACGAAAAAATCATCATAATAATAAGAATAAAAAAGAAAAAGAAATGGGGTAAGCAACAAGTTCGTCCAAAGTGTAACATGACCCTGTGCACCATCGACATCATTTTTCTTACTCGTGGATCTGATGATTAATCGATCGATAAATCAAATCCCATCAACTTAATCAGTGACCTTACCCAGTATGTCCTGATACCCCGAGAACTACACTAAAACCCCTAGTAAAACAAACCTCATCCCAATAAAAATAACTTACTAGAATGTATAAAATTAAAATCAATGATCATCGACATCGATTCATACCCAACCGCACGACCCGCCAACCTCTCCCCTAAAACCAATCTAACAAGGAAGACAATCCCTAAACCATAAAGCTCAGGGACCAAAATGTACGACTTGATGCCAACACGCCAATCATTACTTCCGTGAATCCCCCCCCCAATCTGCAGGTAACGTACAGAAATGCCGATAATCCATCCCTCCATTGAATCCCCCTGAACCCCACACATACACACCAATATCCCAACGTCAACGCCAAAACACCAACCCAGCCCCCTCCCTCCTACGGGTACCCACACCCCCCTTCCATCCTTCCATCCATCTAAGAACGATACACAGTCAAATCCCCAAGGCTGGCAAACATGGCGAGCTGAAACCACCACTACACGGCCCAAACTTCGCCTTCCTCTTGAGTAGTTGAGCACCCAACCTAAGCCAGTTATTGTTGTTGCCTCACTATGCGGAACCTCTCTCGGGACGTGCAAAGAAGGCCATTGTTAGGTAGCGTAGTGAGGGATGGGTACTGGACAGGCTTAGGTGGGTACTGGCTGCTAGGGTGGTTGTTCTGCGAACTGTGATTTTCGTTGCTTGCGGAGATCTCTGGTGAGGGGCTTGTTGTGGTTGGTTGTTTGGTTCCATGTCGTGGCGTGTGAGGGGTGTTGAGGGTCTAATTGGTTGGAGAAGGCCTTTTTGGGGTTCGTTGGTTATTTTGTCTGTTGTCTGTTGTCTGCTCTCTGCTGTCTATTGTATATTGAAGGTTTTAGTATGTATGAATGGTATGTACCTTGGTAGTAGTTGGATAGTGTGTTTGTTGAGGTAGGAGTAGTACCTTGGGAGTGGGTTGTAGAGGACTAGTCTCTTGTTGGGTTCTTATCAGTAGTCCCTAGTAGTGTTGATTGAAATTGTTTACTCTTGGCCATGGATATCCGTTGTATTGTATCATTCTATCAGAGAAGAGCGTGGATGGCGCCTGTCATTATCATAGAATGGGGTATAGGGACTTGATCTAGGGTGTGCACTTCGGTACATACCTATAAGCACCATCTACTGTCCACATCTATGAGCTACGGCTCATGAGAAGTTCAAAGACGGCCCGAGTCTTCCAACAGTTATCCTGATTAGATGCAGATGGTTGTGAATTGCTATGCATATCGGGAGAGACAGAATAATGGCGATTTATTAAGACTGCGTTCGTAGACTCTAGAAAACTGAACTGGTGTGGTGTGGGGTCGGTGAAGCCGTTTCTTAGGATTGATGTAGATTATGGATGGGAGCTGGCGCTTGTCCTTGCTGGATGTGAGCTTGGTTTCTCCGTGATGATGATATGAAATGATAGCAGCGAGTTGTTATTTAGCATATCAAGTTGGATCGCTGTTTACATTAATCTTTATGTTTTGTCGACGCCTCTACGGGAAATGTATACGTGAGGAATAGCGTTTTACATTGTACTACACTATTATCATTGTCTAAAGTCATCAAACTTCTCGTACATTTCTTGTTTATGTTTTCAAGATAGCATTGAACGGTACGTTGATATATGTATCCAGAAATTAGAACTCGATAAAGGCAATGGATTCAACCAAGCCTCTCTGTCCAGCTGGGCTTGACTGTTCCCTTAGGATCATACTGCCAGGCATACCAGAGAGGGGTAATCGTCAAAGTAGCGAAAAATATCACAAGATTTCCCAAAGCTTGTAGTTCAGGTTGAGAGATACCAGAAGATTGCATAGGAGGAAGAAAGAACAATTGCCTTCGCAGCACTGGAAACCTAGATAATCCGAACGCACATAAGAGTCCGCCTCCCCCCACTGAGAGAACGAAGAACATCAGTTTAGGCAACCAGAACATAGCCATATCAAATGCTTCAAATGATCTGGTTATGAACGGAATGACAAAGAACCACCCTAAGACCACAAAGCTAGACCCCCAGGTAATGGTTGCCATGACCAAGCCGGTATAGACTATAGGTAGAACCAGGGCAGACTGACTTGGTAGCATTCTCGCTACCGTCTCGTACAATATGCCTTTAACCGTACTAAAATCTGGTGGGAGGACCATGAGAAACAATGGATATCCTGGGGAGGGGGAGGGATGCACGTGGATTTCAGTACCCAAGGTATGTAACCACATTTTGGGTACATAGTAGGCACCCAAAACACTCAACGAGAATACCGTCAGACTGAGGGCTTGCAATGGTCTTGAAGTTTCTTTCTCCACCTTACACAAGTTCTCTCCCCAGCATGTTGGCATTGCCCAGACCAGGAAAGCTATATGTGCACTTATCGCAAGGTAGCCCAGCCATCGTTCCACAAAGGATAGTAAACGTTGTATCTCCTCGGATATACCTGGCTGTAGCTCGGCTGTCGGGAGGTCCTCCACGACGTGGGCAAGTAAATTAAGAAGTTCGATGACGACAAACGAGGTGAGATAACAGTACCCCCATGATCTTGTCCACGGAATGCCTTGCATAGCGGTAAGCTTGAGAGCTTGTGAGAAGGATCCTATGAGAAATCCCACCCAACGGATTATGGTTAACTTCTCAAGGTCCCGTACCGTTTCGGAGGGCTCGTCCTCTGCATTGTCAATTGCTGAGAAGCGAATGGAAAGGATCATTTGGGCGGCGAGGGATGGCGATCTTCCGCTGATCCAGTAAGTTGCAAAACGAAAGAGAATTGCAAGACTATCAGCAGCACAGATGAACGGCGATCCACGGAGATATGTCCTGAGCCTTGGGTGTAAACCGCAGACTCTGCCAGAGGGCTGAAACATGGTTACCAAGGCAAGTGGCACAAGTGCCCAAAAGGCACTCTGCCAGGAGACTTGGGATGATGGATCCGCCATTATCTTATGATGAAGAAGACAGTCTCAGAATGAGTTTGTTCCCGAGGTGAAGGAACTGACGTCGTCGTCTTGGAAAAAGGGGAGAAGAGACTGGGTTCTTATGATCGCCCAGTGTTGCTCAGCCTCTTTCTGCGCCCTCTTCAGAAAAGGCCACACACTACACGTTTTCGTTCAACGTATTGCGGCACCACAAGCTCAACTGATCGTCGAGGTGGTTTATTCGTATTGACGCCTTCCACACTCACCACGACCCATGCGGATGGGTCTGTGAAACGATTTGACACCCAAACTCTTCTTGCCTAATCAAGTTTCCAATTTTTCTTTCCTATTGGTGCTGCAGCGCCCTGCCTACGAAATCCTGTATATTGACTACCGTAATTCCCATGGAGAATGGCACCTTTTAGACCTATATATCTCAACCATGAAGCTTCCGTAGGGTTTGTAATATCTCCTGGATTGTAACACACACCAGCTGCTCGATTTCATGTGGCTGGTAAGAAGCTAATCAAAATTAGATAAGTAACACTGAAAACCCTGACAAAAGGGTGGTATCCGAAAGGTTGGTATGTACATCCCCATGCTATTGCTTAACCACCCAAAAATAAAACCAAAGTACACGCGCAATCAAGTGAGCAACTATGTTTACTGAATTGCAGTTTGGTTACGGTAGAGATCGCAAGCGTGAGGATGTTGCAGGCAGTACTTCGGAACCAGAGCTTGAGCCTGAACACCATTCGCAACGAGGTATTCACGGAAGTTGAGGATACGTTGGGTCATCTCCGTGGTGCGTTTCTTGCCATCGGCGTCGCGGTTTCCGGACCAGACGAGCTCTGCCAGAGCTGCAGCCCGAGGCCAGAACATGCTGGACACGTTGATATCATCAACTTGCTCGCCCCAGAGAGGAGCCGTCGCGCCAATGATATGCTTGGTTTGCGCCTCAGTGAGATTGAGGGTGAAGTCGTAATCGTAGATCCGTTGCCAGGTTTTGTAAGGGGCGCACCACGATCCTCCATTGCCTCCATAGTTGAAGTTAGGGGTATTGGCATCTGGATTGGACATTACATTGTACCGCGGGTCATTGGTGACGAAGCCTCCGTGACCACAGTCCAGGTACAGGAAGTCAGAGGAGGACACGATGACGTCGTAGCCTCTAGCTGTCAAGTTCGAGATGTACTCTAGACCATTGTTCCAGCTCTGCATTACAATGTTCTTGGGCACATCATGTGCATTCTCCGCGGACAGCGCAATGTCCTCCCACATAACCAGACGGCGTTCTTGACTGTAGTTCTGGAAAATAGGCACGGCATGATCAACCCAGTATTGAGCCAGGTCGTGGTACGTGCGCGAAGGATCCTCGGCAAACCACTTAGTGACGTGGGTGCTAAAGTTGAAGCAGTTGGGTTGGATTTCGTCTCCTCCGACATGGAACCAATGGTCAGGGAAAATGTCCGACAGTTCCTTGTAGACATTGCCGACGACCTCGTAAGTTTTGTTGTAGATGATGTCAAGCTGACCAGGATTTGGCTCAACCGCGGTGTGGAGAGGCCACTCATCATTGGACCACCAGGAGTCTGTGCAAGTAACCATTTCGGGGTCAACTTGCTTCCAGCCTGAGGAGGAGTGACTGGGCATGTCAATTTCGGGGATCACACGAATACCACGAGCCCGAGCATAATTGACAATGTTGCGAACATCATTGCGCGAGTAAATCTCATGGGGCGAGTAAGCATCTTTGACCATCTCGGGATAAGCGTCGACCCAGATAGGCCAAGACTGCGCATCATCTATGTGCCAGTGCAAGACGTTGAGCTTCGAAAGAGACATGCCCTCTAGCTGTTCGAATATTTTGGGCAGGGTGACGAAGTTCCGACCCGTATCAAGCATGATTCCACGGTAGGGGTAGAGCGGAGAATCTTTGATGCTGACTGGCTCTTCGATAATCAAACCGCCGTGTCCATCAGATATGACCAGCTGTTGGAGAGTGGTGAATGCATGCAGTGCACCCCAGACGGTCTCGGCGTTGATCGTGATGCTATCCGAATCTTCCTCAACATTGAGCGTGTAAGACTCATCAACGCCGTGCTGGAGATCGGCCTCCGTGTTTTCGACCTGTACATTAACATACTGTAGCGAAGTTGAGGCGCGCTTCGTTTTTCTGGAAGCGCCCGCCGTGGGGGTTGGGAAAGGTTCGAAGGAGGAGATGGGAGCTTCCGTGGCAGCGGGGACCCATCGCAAGGCGACTATGGTCTCCCATGCACGAGACCATGCATCGGACACAATACCATCATGCGAGTCAGTTTTAGTTTGCAGCTGCAGCTCTCCAGCGATGGCTTTGGGACCGGAGGAACCCCAGGAGATCTCACGCGGAGCCGGTAAGGGATTGACACCGACGGCGACGGCTGAGGTTGCCGTGAAGAGCACGGTGCAGATCCCAGAGATCCGCATAATTGAATGATATGGTTCGAGTCAACCCCTGCGTAAAGAGTCGATTATCGCATAAGGGAATGAAAAAGAAATTGAAGAGAAGGAAATTTGCAAGCAGAAGTGCAGTAGATAAGGCTGTGGTTGAGGGAAAGGCGAGAGCTTAAAGGGCTCGACAAAATAATCGATACTAGCGAGTGGGTTCCCTCAAGGGCTGGTAATGTCGATCCCTTTCTCCGTTGGCATTCCATTCACCATCCTTTCTCATTTCACCAAGAACCTGCAGCGGAACAGAGGGATCGAGGCTCGGTTCGAGAATGAGACCCAAGTGGATTCCGAAGGAGCGCCTGAAAGAGGCTTAGACCTGCACATCATTGTTTATCCTCCCTTATACCGTACCATTACCGCCCCCAAGAAGGGGAGTTGGGTATAGTCACCGTACCAGTCGGCTGTCGCACTGCGGCAACAACAGTATTAAAAGGTTACATTTGGTTACAAGTGTAACATTCATCATCACCCTTCAATTTACTTGGTATTATCGAAGAGGAAGTCTTAAATTGAATGATACCTCCCCCTCT